ATGAAAGATCAAAAGAATAAACAATGCAGATTTATTTTCAGATCCTCCTTGGCTCATATTTACTAAGGGTTCCAATATTAGTGGATGGCACTGTATATAGATACACACACACACAATTTTAAACAATTTTATATCATATCATGTTATATTTTTATAATATATAAATATAAATATAAGCACCAGCATGGGTAAACTGCAAAACAGAGCAAAAAAGAAGAAAATAGGCTGCCGAAACAGCATTGGTTGACTTGAGCTAATATTGTTATGTCTATCCAAGCCTGTTTGGTGCCACTAATAGTGCAGAATTTTATATGTCAACTTTAAAGACTTAAGGTAAAAATAAACACTAACAAAAAGGGGTGAACAATAGTTATATTAAACCAGTTTGTTGAGAGAAAGAGACGAGAGCTGATCAAGCGCCCTCTCTCTATCCCTCTCAACACAAGTCTCTATTTACACTCATAACCCCTCAGCTGGGCTGTTGTTCGCCACTTCACTTGATCAATTCTATTCACTCCTGTTCAACAGTTCTCTCTCCTCATCCTCTCTCTCCCTCTCGTTCACCATTCATAGTCCAGGTCTCTGTGGATGTGTGATGGCGCATATGTATGTAATCATATCTATATAGACTGCTAATGAGCTTATTGGAGCACAGACAACACACAGCGTACTCTGGCACACACACACACACACGCCTCAGGGGCCGCCACAGGGAAGGGTGAAATTAACATAATCTATCCTATTCATGCTCACATTCTCCTCTTTGTTTGCAGTAAATGAACTCTAACCCTTGACACCATGACTGTAAAACACCCACATACACGCAGTCCTGCTTCACAAAGGGCAATCAGATATGAAACTTTCACTAAACTGACAGAAGAGCAACAATGACGTGATATAGTGATATATCAGCAAGACCAACTGAGCCATTGATATTTGGCTAATTTGAGTGTATCAGTTAATAACATTGTCTGCTTCACAGATTCACCAGTTGTTTAAGGTTTGGCTGGTTAGCATAGCTCTTGCTGCTAGATGCCATAGGCTAATTGCTACACATTTTGGCAGCTCATTCAAAGGTGCAGGTTTAGGAACGACCTATAAAATGAGAGCCCTCTTTCTGCCAGCAGTACTGTGCCCTCCACTGATGTTACCAGTGCACTCTGGGTACTGTATGATTCTCTGGTTTAAAAACATCTACCAAATGAAAGAGAATAAAGGAAGCTCAGCACATTTTTCTGGGGACCTACACAGTGCTGAAACAGGCACTTCTGTTTGATTGGTTCCGAGATTTGGGAATATAGCACAGATACACACACACACACACACACACACACATATATATACAGAGGAAGACAAATCTGAAATTAACTGTCACTCAGACAAGATGATGTATCTTACTGTCACACACAAAACATTTTTACTCAGTTTACTCATGTTCATAATATATACAAATATACATACATATATATATATATATATATATATATATATATATCCAAACCGCCTTCCCTGTAGGTTAGCATGGATGTCGCATTAATTGATCAAATATGGTAAAATCAGTGATATTGTGAAATATTATTAACATTTAAAACAACTATTTTCTATTTGAATATATTTTAAAATGTAATTTATTCCTGTGATGCAAAGCTGAATTTTCATCATCATTACTCCAGTCTTCAGTCACATGATCCTTCAGAAATCATTCTAATATACTGCGCACAAAACATTTATAATTATCATCAATGTAGAAAACATTTGTGCTGTTTTTTCCCCCGGAGATTCTTTGTTTAATTGAAATTTCAAAAGAACAGCATTTATTTGAAAAGGAAATATTTTGTAACATTATAAATATCTTTACAGTCAGTTTTAATAAATTCAATGCGTCCTTTCTGAATAAGTGTTCAAAAACTCGGATACATTTTCATCCCGTCCTTCATTACTGATGAGACTATTTGAAAGCAAACTCTGCCCCCTAGCGACACATACTGTTTAGTGCAATTGCTCCATATTCCATATTCCACAAGTATTCATGTGAAGTTTCAAAGTATCATTCTATTTTCTGAATCACTGAAATGCATAACTCTGGATACTGTCAAGACAAACATTTTTTTGTTCTAGCAGTCACATAGCAAACATATTCTTTATTAATTTTTTAAACAAACTCATAAAACAAAATATTCAAAACAAACATAAAAATGAAAATCTTTCATTGTCATCCGGGGGACTGAAGATGATTCATTTCTTTCCATCATTCAGCCAAAAAAAAAAAGTGTTTCCCGTTCTCCATTTGTCGAGGGCTAATTCAATCTGAACCGCTCATACAAAGTCTTTCACAAATTCTAAGAATGATTGTTTCATAATCGCATGACCATGTGCAATGTCGTGGCGGCCGTGTGTGACATCACAGCCTATGTATTTTATGAAATCACATAATCGGATGCTCTGTATGATCTTTATGGTCATAGTCAAACATGTCATTTCAAAGTTGAGAAACAACTGTCTGATGTTGCACTGCATTTTCAGGTCATATGTTACATTACGCTTTACTTCTGCTCAGATTAACTGCATGGTCATGTCATTTCATATAATGATATTAAAGGCCATCTCATACAAATCTATTGTCATAGATACAACTGAAATACTAGGCAAAATTATGTTTCAACAGTGAGCAAGAAAGTTTAAAGTGAAGAATAGTCTATACGTGCTGAACTGGTGCCACCTAGCTGTCTAAAAACAAAGGCTTGCGAGTAAAGTTAGTAGGATATATGGAAGCACTGGTTATGGATTATTAGTGGTGTTTGTTAAAACAAGAATTACTATTACTATTCCTCATACTTAGGGATCTGAACAAACTCCTAAGCCTAAATATTAAACGTAAAAACTATTAGACTATCATAGGAACTTGGAGGTGAGCTCTTTTGAGTAAGCAATTGCACTAAAAAAACCCTCTGCAACCACATAGCAACATCCTAGCAACCACTGTCAAACCCTGTCATCACTGAGTTTTGCACTGGCAAGCACTACTTACTTTCTTAAAGAATAGTTCGCCCAAAAATGAAGAATGCTGAAAATTTACTCACCCTCAGGCCAAACAAGATGACGACGAGTTTTTCTTCACTGGAACAAATTTGGAAATATTTAGCATCACATCACTTGCTCACCAATGGGTCCTCTGCAGTGAATGGGTGCCATCAGAATGAGAGTCCAAACAGCTGATAAAAACATCACAATAATATCACAAGTAACCCCACCACTCCAGTCCATAAAGTAATCTCCTATGAAGCGAAAATCTGTGTTTGTAAGAAACAAATGTATCATTAAGACGCTTTTAGCCTCAAACGTTGCTTCTGACTTAAATGAGTCCTCTAAGGTCTTGCTGTTTCTTACAAACGCACATCTTTTCACTTCACATGATGTTAGATGATGGACTGGAGTTGTGTGCATTACTTGTGGATTATTGTGATGTTTTTATCAGTTGTCTGGACTCTCATTCTGACGGCACCCATTCACTGCAGAGGATCCACTGGTGACGTAATGCTAAATTTCTCAAAATCTGTTCCGATGTTCATCTACATCTTGGCTGGCCTGCGGATGAGATAAATTTCAAACAAATTTTCATTTTTGAGTGAACTATTCCTTTAATAAGGCAATATACAAAATGTATATTGTTCTTTAAAACCTTGAGAAATAAATGTATAAAGAATGTAACGGCAACAATCTATACAACTAGACCCATTTGTAATAACATTTTGACTTGAATTCTTTGGCCAACCTATCCACAACACTAAAAACGCTCTTTGATAAGCTATTTGTGCAAATATCCAGCAGACCAGTAACGTGATTCCACTTTCGGTCGCCAGCACTTCCCGTAACTCCTGCTCACCTAACGCCCCATTCTGTTGCAAATCCCGCCTCTTACTGTCTCCTTCTCTCTATCTTCTCGGTGTTTTTTACCTCTGATTCACGCAATGTCCGAACTGTCCTGAGCGCATTCTCAACAGTAGGCACGTGAGGCGTCTTCTTCTTCTTCTTGCTTTACGGCGGATAGCAGACTTATAAGTGCATTACCTCCACCGATCTCTCAAATGGACCATTGACACTCCCCAATTGAGATTGTAGATAGAGTGTCAATGGTCCATTTGAGAGATAGGTGGTGGTAATGCACTTATAAGTCTGCGATCCGCCGTACAGCAAGAAGCAGAAGACGCCTCATGCGCAGGCTGAAGATGCGAACGCACTCAGGATAGTTCAGACATTGCAGTGAAAATCAAGAGGTAAAAAACGATATAAATACTGTTCAGTTTCTTTCCCATCCACTTCAATTATAAGACTGACAGACTGCAACGGTTTGAGTTAAAAATCTCTGTTTGTGTTCTACTGAAGAAACAAAGTCACCTACATCTTGGATGCCCTGGGGGTAAGCAGATAAACATCAAATTTTCATTTTTGGGTGAACTATCCCTTTAACCCTTTTTGAAAAACTCATTCAACCTTCACTATTCTCTCTCTCCTGCCTTGCCCTCGTCGCTCCTGTGTCCTGATTGGTTCTAGATCTGCTCCACTCGCTGACTCGACATCCCACAGCTGGCCACAGCACAGTTTCACCTCGAGGCCTTGCCAAGAGCCGAAGGAAAAAAGGAAGGCGAGAAAATATGAAAAAGTTAAGAGCTGAAAAGAATGAGAGAAAGTACATATAAAAGAACAAAGTTTAAGTTTCATTCCCTGTACTGTTTGGATTCAGATTTTACATGAGCTCATCATACCGGCTGAGATCAAGCAAACGGTTACAGTGAGGTCAGACTTCCTGCTGGGCAGCTCTGTGTTCACCATGAGATTAGAGAGAGAGATACGGCGGTGCTTGGGACAGGCTCATTCTCATGCACTTTCATCTGTCTATTTCTGTCCGCAGTCATCTTTTTTTGGTTCTGCACCACTGAACTTCAAACATAGAATCGTTTCATTTGATGTGTAATTATTATGATTATCATTTTTAGATTAATCCATGAGGGACCTGCATTCTGACCCAGAGAACATCAAATTCAGCTGCACAAATTAAAAAAATCATCAAAACAGTCACAACAAATAACTTCAAAAGTCACAGTCTGAAAAAAAAAATACTGTTGTGGTGTTACCTTGTAGTTTGTGTGATTGTGTGTTCTCATAGTCTGGAAGTTTAATGGAAGTTCAAGTCAATGTGATATTTGGGGGGGACTTTGATCCCTTTTGGCACTAAAGAATAACTATGACATACAGTACATGAAAAAAATATGCATATAAACTGAATTTCCATAACCGGACAAAGACGAACAAAAAACAATCTTCCACACTAGCCAATCCAAACAGCTCCTCTGAGATGGTGAAATTTGATTGGTTGACAGGCTTAAATGGATGTAAACGAGTTTTGCCTCTGTTGATTTTGGTTGATATTATATGCTGCGCTCTACACAGCTCTCTCAATGTCTCTGGAAAAAATAAACACAAAAACAAAACCTCATTTTTTTTTCTTTAAACATAAATTCTCTCAGTTGCTGCCATAGCAGATTTGTTTTCCTAGGTGTTTTGAATCAGTTTGAACATATCCAGCATTATTCGCCCTGTTCGTTTAACTCCATGTCTGAAACGAGAATGTTTTTTTCAGCTTCTTCGGAGGGGGCGGAGTTAGTGCGGCTGTACCGAGCGCTCTCGTAGGCGCCCGTGGAGCCGAAGCTCCGCCTACGATATAGATAAATCCCTCCCACCACCAGAGCAATCAGAACGAGTGCTGCAACCAGGACCTGAATTAATACATGGAGATGGTCGACCACAGCTGGAAGAAAGAGAGAAAAAAAATATTCAAACAAAACATTCAAAACAACTTCATGGGTGTTCATTTAATACATGTTTTTCAACTTTGTCAACATATTTTAGGTAAATATGAGGTTAAAAAATTATTAGAACTTACAATGAACTACAGGCTCTGCTGTGGTTCCTATTAAAAAAAAAGAAAGAGGAAAATGTGAATTATTATATTGTATATTATAATTAAAATAGGATTTCTGTCATACATTCTCAGCTATTTTTTTCCCCGAGGTCAACTTAGACAAGATTTTTTTGGACATTTCTCATCATGACCATGGCCATTTTTCACCTGCTTATTGACCCTTAGAACAATACTGTGCTTTTATTGCTGTGCCTTTGAGAATTCTATGCAAACCAGTAATTTTAATATTATTTATGTGGTATTATAGTACTCATTCATTTTGAATTAGCCAATTTTAGTGGAGGGCACTGTATGTGACGTTCCATACCTCGTGGTCGTTTACAGATGACTCCATGTGTGCGGTTTTTGCAGGACCCAGGCCTCCAGAGGCCTGTGTTGCTCTGAACCCAGAAGCAGCTGTTGGCAGACAGCATGCTCAGATTAGTGTCCTGCTGCTCCCAGTTACTGTAGTCCACTACTTGACTGTCTGACCACTCCAGACTGCCTTCTGTGGAATCAAACACATACACACAGGTCTGGATAAAGGAGATCCAAATTGCAGGTCAATAAAGGAAACAAGTGTTATTTATTAAACTTCTTGCCTTTGGAGTTAAAGATCATTCCAAGCCAAGCGCCGTGGGCCTGTTGTTGAAAACTTTGCATGTGCTCCCATACAAAACTGTTCTCGTTTTCATCTAATATTGACAACAGCTTAGCTCCCACTAAGAAAGGAAAAAACAAGATTACTTGAGTTTATTGTGTGTAATATGTTCCTGTGCCGATTTTGTTGGTTTTTCCTGTATGTGGACGTTACCTTTGTTACACATGTGTATGGCCTCATGTTTAAATTGCAGCTCGTGGAGGATGAACGAGTAGCAGTGATTTCTGAAAGGAACCCAGGACCAATTACCTACAGGCTCTGGGCAAAAACCCGGATACATCCACCTGTGGTCTATTGTTCTCTCTGACACAGGAACAGAACAACCAAAAGGCTATTAGAACACACCTGCAAAATTTGTGCAAAAATAACACCACAGACAGATCTAAACGCACAAGTAACATCTAAAATAGAATACCAGAACTGTATGCACCATTGCTGTTATTGTTAACTAAAACTAAAACTATTAAAAATCAATTTTGGTAATTGAAGTAAAGTTGAAATAAAATAAATAAACTTTAAAAAAAACTTTTAGAAATGTTATAATAATGTTATAATAGTATATAAATAATTCTAAAATAAATCTGGTATACACTGAATATTGCCTGTTATTATATAAAATAGCATAGAAACTGTGTCCCAATTAAATGATGAGTCAACCTTGGATGCATACAGGTGCATCTCAATTCATCACAATTAAAAGAACCAAAGACTTAAACTACTTCAGTCTGTGTGCATTGAATTTATTTAATACACGAGTTTCACAATTTGAGTTGAATTACTGAAATAAATGAACTTTTCCATGACATTCTAATTTATTGAGATGCACCTGTACTGCACATTTCAGTCAGTGTTGTAGGCTACTTCATCTGGAAATTCAATGCAAACACAAAATGTACATACTGCATACCACACAAACAGTACTACTAGTATGGTAGTATTCAGAAGCATATTCTAACATTTTCCTACCCATGTTAATTTCACAGATGGCATTTAATTTTGTATTACAAGCAGCCACAGTCCACTGGCCCTCAACGGTCATGTGACCACATCCATACATTTGATTAGGCTCTCCATCCCGCCAGTCACTGAATGTGAGCTCCTCTTCACCCAACCATGTGTAGCTCCGAGCCTGGAAATACAAGAAGCTTTTGCTGAAGCTCTGACATGTCAGTGGAAGAGACATACAACACGCACACAATGTCTCACCCTGTCATTGTGTAGTCCGATCCAGGAGGGTTTGCGGAACGTGCTGAGGAGGAGGGTGAGGTAGGCGTGCTGCCGAGGATCCCGTACCGCTGTCAGTGTTCCATTAATGGAGTCACACAAATACAGTGCTCCACGCCAGTCCAGAGGCTTCTGCAAAATCCGGTACTGCACGCCATCAAATTCTAATGGGCCATCTAATGATGGGGGAAGAGAGTCCACACCAGGGGGCAAGGCAGGGTCTGGAAACACATGCACACAGGGTATTTTAGTGGTTCAGGGTATATAATACAATGCATATTTGTATGAGCATGTGAATTTGAGATATTCCTGTACCTTTATCTTTCATGCAGATGAAGCCGTGCTTCTCTGCATCACACCTGCGAGACGCCCACATGCCCATGAGCACGTCAGTCCCAATATTCATAAAAGTTGTCTATGATTCTTATACTTTCACATTTTTTGTACTTTTCTTTTTTTGTGTGAACTATCAATTTAATGTAACCTAGCTTCCCTTCTGGTGTGTGTGTGTGTGTGTGTGTGTGTGTGTGTCTGAGTGCATGGGTTTGATTTACCCTGAACCCTGTGGTTTGGCACTGTCACTAGCGTGGCTCTATGTGTCAGACACGTCTTGGATGCAGATTCCCAAGTGCTACGACTCGACAGCTCCTCTCCAAACACCTTATAACACTGTTAGAACGAGGGAAAAAACTGAATTCAGAGATTACTGACGTAAGAAAATGTGCAACGTGAATATTTCTGTAAGAAAGTCATTTTAAAAATAATAATTTTTGCTAGAGCTGTATTCTCTTACATTCCAAATGAAAAAACAAAAGTAATCAAAATGTAATATCTTGCTTCATCACAAGAATAATTTTCCCTTTTGGCTGCGATCAGATTTTTACACCCCCTCCTCTCCAAAAAATCTGTCAAATATAGATAACTTTTCTTGATCTAATCAATTCCTGACAAAATCAATTAAATAAATTCAATGCACACAGACTGAAGTAGTTTAAGTCTGTGTGCATTGAATTTATTTAATTGATTTTGTCAGGAATTGATTAA